ACTAATTAAATATTTTATTAAAATTAAATCGATAAATAAAAATATTCTGATTGAGCCAAATATTCAGGTTGCGATTCGAAGCATTGCCTACATTATATTGAAAAAGGCGTCGCTGAATAGATTATTGAGTTGGCCAAGAAATACCCTCAGCAGATAACACTTTGATTCTAATAAAGTCTATTTACCTGGCATTGTCTAACTGTTAAATAGAATACAGAAGTATAAACTATGTGAGAGCTATAGAACTAGCTTACTTGACCAACTGAAACCCAGCCCCTTCAGAGTCCCACCCTAGCAAAATTCTATTTGCCTCGCTCAGAGGTCATAAAAATCTGCTGAATTTTAAATAGTTTGACAAGCAGCTATGTATCGTATATCCGATGTAATCAAATGGAATTGCCCTGCTGTTGCAGCTTGATTTGGCAGTTAATTTGGCTAAGAGTGTTTCTGGCCAAGTCTGCGAATGTCTGGGCCAATAAAATTGTTAATTACATTTTATTAGCGCAAGCCGAAGCCCAAAAGTCGTTAAAGAGTCAAGCAGCTCCCTGGAGTTGGCTCTGATTCCATGGTCTGCCGCTAGCTTCGGCTGTAAACTTCTTGGATTTCGGCACAGGCTGGCCGCATATTTCGATGTCGGGCGGCGTCAAAGTTGCTGGCTCGCCAGGCTATATAATAATACACACTCCAAATTAATATTAATTTCAGGGCAGGGCCAAAACTTTAACTAGGTTGCTGCCAAATGGGAAAAAGCAAGCAAAGAGAGAGAGCGAGATGGAGAGAGAGGGAGTGTGAGCCGGCCGCAAACTAAGACAGCAATTTATTGTAAGATAACGCGGCACATGAAACGTTTCCACAGGGTTGCTTCGAAAGGGGTGGGAGGAAGCCTGTTACAGGCCACACACTTTTAGGCATGCTCCATTTAAAGCCAAAATTTATGGCACGTGGCGCTGGTTTGAATTACAAAAGGGCGCTGCTTGGGCGCCCCTAATGAAAAGCCAAGCCAAACCAAGCCGAGCCAAGACTGAAAGCGTGAGCACAACCTGAAGGATAAGAGGTAGCAAATAGTGTGGGGGAGCAGGGGATTCCCCATGGGCTGCGGGACTTTGAGCTTTGCGTTTTGCGCTTTGAGTGGAGTGAAGGCGTAACGGCTTATGTCTTTTCAACTGTCGCAGTCAGTGCAATCATTTCCGTAAAATATTTCATTCTATGTGCACTTATCTTCCGTTCGACTAACAAGGCGCATTTTCCCACTGGCATCGCCATCCCCTCTCCCTGTTCTCGGCCCATTGCTGTGCCGCCCTTTGTACTTGGCTTGTGGCCTGTTTTGCAATTTGCTTAGATTTCCGCCGCTGGAGGCGAACTACTGCACCATAATTATATTCCATAACAAAGGACTGAAACCAGACTCGGAAGTGGGTCAAAGAAATTGAAGAAAAAAACAGTGCTGCTACAAAGGAAATTAATTCTCAGTAGATGCTGCGATGTAGCGCATCGATCTAGTTCAATTGAACTGCAAACTCAATATTGTTAACTTCATTTGAAATGACTTGGAACTAATAACTCTTGTTCAGATGAGCCATACAAATACTGCAAAGAGCAAATGAATTACGAGGAACCTGTAAAGAGAAGAAAAGAAGAAAAGCGTTTCAAAGTGAGCTTAAACAAACCAGCGACAGACGTGGATGAACTACTACTGCGTGAGGCGATAATGCGAATGGAATTACAATAAGCAAAATATAGAAAGTCGTGAAACTAAATTAATAAATGGATTGTGAGGCTTGACTTATTCAGTCAATTTATTTAGTATACAATTAAAGTAATTAAATTGTAGTTAAAATAGTTCATTGAATGGAGCTCTCAATATTCTTTTCATTATTTGACTTTGGATTTTAGAAGTCATACAATAATTTTTAAGCTAATATAAATTCTTTGCTCTATGATGCTAATTAAATTTACTTGAAAATGAGTGATTAAAACTAATGAATACTAGTTCCAGCGAATGAGCAACTATTTCAATTTAAGCAATATTATACATTAAAATAAAATGAGCTATAGCGAGACTTGAAAAATAACAAGCTAATTTAGCATATACGGAACCATCCATTTGGATGTCTGAATTTGATGGCTTAATCTGATTTTATAAAAAAATAAAGTATTTACATTCAGCAAGCAAACAAATGAACTAGTTCCATTACAAGTGAATTTTGGAAGTTGTTGAAGAGTGGATGAATTAACTAACCATATAGTATATGGTGATAAGATTTAAAGTAACTACTTGCTTCAACTAACTCAAATTCCAACCCTACACTCAACGACTCTCCGAATGCTTGGCAGCTCTTAACATAAGCTGACTTATGCCTTGACAAGACCCAAAAAAAAAAAAAAAAAACCCTGCATGTTTTATTGCCAAAAAATAAAAAACTATAAAACTTTTTTGAGCAGTCATTTAATGTACATAGTCGTATATATGTATATATACTTATATATATGTGTGTATGTCTCGCCTTGCCTCGCCTTAGCCTGGGGGCAGCTTTTTTTTGGCACTTTCCGTTAGCCGGGTTGCGTGTTATCAAACGATTTACAGGCCGCAAGTGCGACTGCATAATTTATCAATAATAACAACAGGCAAAAAACAAAAAATAAATAAATAAAAAGGAGCTGTGCATAAAGCAACAGACGAAGCAAAAAAATGCTAATGAGTTCGCGTCTCGTCTCTCCGCTCCTCGGGCTCACTCTGGCTCTCGCCTCGGTTTGGCTGTGGTCTACGGCCAACTGTCAGCATTTCTCTAGGGCAACGGCTGCGGGGAGGGCCAAGCAATTTCGTTTCGCTTGATTTTGAACGACTTCCTGGGCAGCCAAACCTTGCCGCACCCCGTCCCCGTTGAGCTCAACCCCTGACCCAGCAATTAGCGACAGTTGCAGCATGGACATAACTTTACCTTCCTCCTCTTTCATTTACTGTTTTTTTTTTTTTTGGTCTCATTTATTTTTTTTTTTCTGTTTTGTGGTATTTGGTTTTTTGTCCTCGCTTCAATGCGTTGCTGTATTTAACTGTCCCTCTCCCTCCCTCCACATCSCTGTCGTTGTCTCCGTCTCGCTTTTTTAATGACAATTCGTGTTGTTAGAGTCGCATTTGGGTATTGTTGCATTGCCCCGGTTAATTTGGAAACTGTCGATTTTCATTTATTCGCTTCCGGCTTTTGCATTTCGATGATGAGAACCAGTGAAGCGTGCCAGCTGCTCGGAACTAGCTCCGGCGAGCAACATGACCATAATCAAGCGTTAAACCAGCTCGAATATCAATTGCTTAAGAATGAAACCCGTTTTCCCTCCAGCTCTATCTATCTATCCAACTAGCCCAAAACTCACCCCGTTTCACAGAATCCGTATCGTTCAGGGTCCCGCCAGTCGATAGCGCCCGTTTTGCCGTATTTCGCGTTTCGCTTCTCTTTTCTTCATGCTGAAAAGCGTAATTAATGCGTTTTCCTTTCACAGGCATTTGGGAATCACGATTTTTTTATTTTTGCGCTGAGCGTGCAAAAATACGCAAAAAAAAAAATAATAATAATAAAATAAAATAAAAGCCCAGCGGCCCTCGGTGTGTCGCTGTGCACAAGGCGTGGCACGAACAATGCCGCACACACACACGCACACACAGGCACAGAAATTTGCTGAAGTTCCACTTTATCATTAAGCATCCAAAAGTAACTTTTATGCTTTATTTCCGTTTTGGGGCAAAAACGAGAACAAATGCGAACAACAAAAATGAAATAAAAAAGGAACTAAAGCTTGAGGCTCGTTGAGCCGCAATATCGCACTCAAGGGTTTAATTTATAGTACGTAACGGTATACGTATAGATATATATATATATATAAGTCTTTGTCTGTGTATGTGTATGTGTATGCATAGGGTTGGCCAGCAAGATAAATAGATGCAGGATATTACAGCCAGCTGCGTGTCCTTTCGATCGACTCTCAACGTCTCAAGTGCCGCCCGGAACCCGATTGGATTCGATTTTCAAAATCGCAATTGGGGTTCGTGCCACAAAGAGTGCGTCCAAGTGCGAATGGAATGCCAATTTAGTACTCAGTGTGGAGGGGAAAGAATAAGCCACAATGAGATTCAATTCTCACTGAATCAGCGGGCAGACGGTACAGTGAAAACTCTAAGATAAACAAAGGAATCAATATAGAGTTCGAAAAAAAAAACATTGATGTACAAAATTAAAGGAATCTACTGAAAACAAAAAAAAAAGTTTTTACTATGAGCTTTACTATGAAGTATTTCAAGTAGAACTAATTAAGCAACCCAAGCGACTGAAGCTCAAATTAGCTCAGTTTTATTAAGGTCTCTTTACTAATTCTATTAATAAAACTTGGGCAAAAGTTTTTGTTTTGATATTATAATGCTATATCTACTTCTTATATAGTTTCCGTAGACTTTATAATTAAAAATAACAGATGACTCAATAAACAACTAATGTATGCAAAGGTGGAGTACTTAGTCCACAGATACTTAAATTAGTATTCAACATTCAATATTTAAGAACGTCTTAAAGAATAATGATATAAATAATATATCTACATATCCTAGGAAGACTTGGCCCACTTGCAATTTGGCGATTTCAAATTATTAGTTCTGAAATAAAGTTTTTTTTTCGATTTGGGGCGGATATATATGTATGTATCTACTAAATATTTATGGACTTGGGTCGCTTACATTCCGCTACACCAGATGTGGCATTTAGCCAAACTATTTGCCAATTGCGTCTAGTGGGCGTAGCGAGATAATCTGTAAACTTTATGAGGCAAGGCTATCAACGATTACAAATTTCACTCAGGACTTATATTTATGCAGATAGAAGGATGGCCATCAAGATGGATAGTTAAATATTAAAACAATATTCAATTTGTGAATAATTATAATATACAATAATACCGTTGAAATAATTTATCCCCTACGTTTTTGATATGTAAATATGAATTCGAAAGACAAGAACTTATTATAAACTATTATAACTAAATATACATACATTTATAGTAATACCTTGTAAATTGTTACAAACTAAAAACCAAAGCCTCACCCCCAAATCTTCTTAGCTCGTTAAATGCAGTGACTAGTTCACTTAGACAATCCATGAAAACAGAACTGAAAAGTTCTTTACAAAAAAAAAAAAACAGACTTAAAATAAAAAGCTTCAACATTTGTGGCTGGGTTTCTCGCTGAGTGTATTTAGCTGATTTCTAAGGCCTCTCATGTTGGACTCGACAGAACTTTCCCAACTGCTGAGCACATTAGTTCCCCCACTTATATGCGGCTCACACATATTACTCGAGTGGCATCTATTTAAAAATTAAAAAAAAAAAACAACTTCAAGTGCTAGGGTAAGAAGAGGGAGGGGCCGGGGATGCTGGGGGTCAGTGTAAAGAGAGGGGACAAATCCTATTGGACGCATGATTAATGACTGCAAATTCATTTCCGCCGGCGCGTTGAGCACGAGAGTCCGGACGGACAACTAGGCCAGGGCTATGGGCAGGGGCAGTGGCAGGGGCAGTGGCAGGGGCAGGGACAGGGACGGTGCTTGGGCAGTGCCCATAAAGATTTGTGTTTGCCCACTCGCTGGCAGAGAGCTCGCTGGACTGGACCTCGAACGGACTGGACTTGGCTGCTCGCTGTCGGCGTCGCAGCTGGCGTCGCAGTTGGCGTCGCATTTATGTTCGTATCTTTTGTGTATCTTGTGCACACTTCCTGGAAATGCCTGGCAAACAAAAAAGAGCTCGTATCTCTGCAGGTAGCGAGGCCATGTGTGTGTGTGTGCCTGTCTATAAGCTGGAAATTACTGTAAATCAGCAAATCAGGTCATTAGATACATTAATCTCGACAGCCTGCACAATTTATGCTAAATTATAGCGTATGCAAACGCTGTTAGCCTTAATCCCCAGCCCTTGGATACGTGCTTAAGCTGAGTGTCTGTATGTGTATGTGTGTGTGTGTGTGTGTGTGTGTGCCAAGGCTTAAGCATGTATGTGTGCGAATGTGTGCTTCTTCTCCCTCGGGGCAGGTGCGACCCTTATAACGAGCGAGCCCGCCAAACAATTTGTATAAAATATTGCACCCGCTCCACCAAAAGGGCCACTAAATAACGCACTAAAAAAATCCAGAAATAAGAACAGTTAGCGCTAAAAGCCCCCATTTACCAGAGAGATGCAGAGTGAAAGAGAGAGACAGAGAGAGCGAGAGAGAGAAGGCAAAAGAGAGAGGAATACCCCCATTCATTACGATTCTTCATTGCAAGTGACAGTTTTCGAGTTTTCGAGTTTTCGAGGGCTGCCCGCTTTTTGTGCTGCTTCTTTATTCTTATTTTGTTTGCTGCTGCTTCTTCTTCTTCTTCTTCTTTTGTTCCCTTTCCACAATTGCAGTCGAACTGTTACAACTAACTGAACACTAAGTAGCTTAAGCTCTAAACTACAGTACAAAGTCTGTTGAACGAACTTACAAACTTCGTGCTGTTTGTGTCAATCGATGGAGAACAAAGAAAAAGACAAGAATGTAGAACTTTGTACTGGCACAACGAAATACAAATAGAAAGAAGCAGCGGAGAATAGAATATAGAAGAACAATAGAATAATTAAATACAATGTTAAATGTAATACATACATGATTAATTATTTGCCAAATATGAAGCTATTAAAAAAAAAGAGAGAGATAAGCATATTTGATTATTTTATAATCTAATTATTATAGTATTTCTATATATGTATATTTATAGGAAAGAAAGGAGCTAAGACCTGATTATCTTTAATTTTAAGTATTTGATATTGATGTAAATCATTTAAATCATATACAGTATGTAAGCTAGTTAACATATTCTAGTCTTTATATTTGATCTAATATGCAGATGCTTTTAAATTGCAGATACTTTACATTTATAACATATGAGAGCTCAAAGATCTCTAAAGTACTTAAAGAAAAGAGCTTAAATATGACTTGAATGTTGAATATTGAATGTATCGTGCCTGTAATTTGGAATATAAAAGATGTTTATTGAATTTAGGTAATGAAAGTATGTATAAACTATATTCAGTGTTTAATGTGTGTGAAATGTAACTAATCTAGAAAATAAACAACGTAAATTATCGGGAATACAAAGTTGCTCTTGCTCGAACTATCTGGAATGTAAAGTGTGAAATATCTCAAGTTTAAATAGTCGCCGTTTCTTGATACAGAAAACTGCTAAACACTAAGTCCACAAGCGACGTGAAACAAAGTCATGGAAAATACTTGCTAATTGGACTCTTTAAGCTAGCAGCACATTACGTTGTTGTAAAATGTAGACAAGATTATGGCAATTGTTGTCGGACTGATCGGCTGTCCGACTGCCCAGCTGTCCAGCTGTCCAGCTATACGGCCTGGCGTCGTGGCAGAGCCACTATTATTATTTTGAAATTATTTTTAAAATACGCGGCTGGGCTTTTATTTAATCTTTATGACAGCCAGAAGGTATATGGGCAGAGCTCAGATCAGTTCAGATCACTTCAGTTCAGCTCAGCGCACCTCAGCTGTGCGTGCAGTTGATCTTCTTCTAGGGAGGGAGTGTCCCGGCCTCGAGAGTTGTTCAAAGAAAGGGTGATTAAATGATGAGCCATCAGCTCGTCTGCCGCTAGTATTATTATGAGTTCCATCAAAGGAGCTCCTCTCTGGAGTCTAATATATCATTCAGTAGTGCGGCGTATTATCTTCATTTTTTGTTTCCTATATAATTATTCGAATACAAACAACAACAGCGGGAAACATTCCTCAAATAAGCAAAGCTATGTTATGTCTATAATTTTTGTCAGTCAGGGTCGTTTTTTTTTTTATTAGAGCAAAGGGTAACCGAGCGACATTCCAGGCAACGGTTTGTTTCCAAAAGTATTTCAAGGGAATTCGTTTAATAGCGTTTGCAATAAAAAAAAACTGTAGAAAAAACAAAAAATTCGGGTTGATATTATGTAGTATTATAACTGCAATTCGCAGGGAGAAAAGGGAGCGGGAGAGAGAGAGAGAGAGAGGGAGTCTCGCCCCTTCAATTGGCTCGTCGAAGGTCAGTTTAATTATGCATTTGACAGCTGCCAATGGAAGGGCTGAGCCTAGTGCGGAGTGGAACTCGTTTTTGGCAGCCAAATGTCTCGAATGCCTGACAATTAGTTGCATAAGTTGAAGTTGATAAAAATTTAAAAAATGAAAATATATTGCAAAAAACACACAGGACTGAAATAATTGAAATTGTTTACAACTCGAGAGCGACCGAATGCGGAATACAATGAAAATGAATAATTCCCGATGGGCCTGTGGGGGCTATTAAAAAGATGCCAATGTGTGCCCAGCAATCAGCAGTCCACAAAAATGGCCATGATGAATCAGTAAGGAGCTGTCGGACTCTGGACTAAAGTATATACAATACATTATAGTTGTATACATATACATATGTACATACATATATACATAGGCAGGCAACTCTGCTTCGGCGAAGCCCACACCACAAAGATACAAAGATACATTTTTAAAATGTTAAATTGATGCAGGCAGCAGTCAACAGGCAACTGGCAACTGGCAACTGGAGGGGGAAAGATGGAACAGCACTAACCATAAAAAGGTATTTAGCAATTTAGATGCATTCGACGTCGTGTCCGAGACGAACGCGATCTCCTCCAACTGGAGTGTTCAAGTAGTGCTTCGCTTTCCAGCTCCTCAAGATTGCTGCTGTTGTTGTTGTTGTCGCTGTTTCCTGAGTATCGCACGCTTCGATCTCTGCTGCTGATTGCGCAGCTGGAGGGGATGGGAGCGCATGTTTGTGTGAGTGTATCAGTGTATGTGTGTGTGTGTGTGTGTGTGTGTGCCTTGAAAAATGAATTGCTTAGCGCTCGCCCAAATAGTCCATGGCATAAATTCCGAATGGGAAACGCATCAATCAACGGTTTAAGCTCAGCGAAGAGAATGGAAGAACAGAGAGGGCAAATTGCCCAGCAGTTGTTGTAGTCATTGTAGTTGTTGTTGGAAAGGCAGCGCTGAATACCAAAAAGCTTGGCAACGGCGAAAGAGAACGGCTCTGGAATTAAAGAGCGCGTGATGATATTGCTGGAAAGATTAGAAGGCGCAATGGCAGCCAAAAAAGAAAAAAAAAAAAACAATCGACAAAAATTAAATAAGAAAAGATAACAGACTAAGAAACTAGGCATGAGCCCAAGCCCAGAATACGTGGAAAGGCAAACAAAAACCAGCAACAACAACAACAACAGTCACTGCGACAGCAATAACAGCGCAGAGTTGAGAACAAATAGGCGAGTCATCGGCATATGACCATGGCAAGCGGATTAGCTTACCTGGCCCAGGGCGGACGAGCGAGCACAGCGGCGTCTGAGCCGCTCCCCTGAGTGTCGGTGCCCGTTGCCCGTTGCCCGTTGCCCGTTGGCCGTTGGCCGTTGCTCGGTGCCAGCTAAAAATTTACGATTTTAGCACAGATTGTAAAGTAAATTTTCCTGTTTTTATTTCGAATTAACAAGCGTGGCCCAGGCAAGCAGCAGACAGCGAAAGACCGAGAGAGCGACGAGCGAGAGGGAGACAGCAATAGAGAACAAGAAAAATACAAGAGCAACAAGAACAAGAACAACAGCCTCAATCGTCGAGGCTCGTGAAAATAAAAAACGAAAGTTTCATGCATTTTTTGTCCACTCTCTTTGGTTTTTGTTGTTGTCTGTGTTCTTTGTGTGATTCTTCTTTAGAATGCGCATTACAGGAAGCCCCTGGATCGAACCGGTTGCTTCTTTCAGCTCGGCTAAGCTGAGTCGAGCCGAGCCGAGCCGAGCCGAGCTGAGCGGTTACTTAATAATGCAAACAGGTTTCCGACGGACTCATCTAAGGATGTGAACGTACATATGTAGTAGAAAGGCCAGCAAGGCAGCCGGCCATCCAGCCAGCTAAGTTATGGATATTGATAATGATGATGATGACGATGATGACGACGACGGCAGCAATGATGATGAACTAGCTTTTTATCAAGGCGATGACAAAGCGCGATTAGAGAACGTCTCTACGCAGGAAATCAGAAAATGTGGGCTGGATTTAATGAGCGACGGGCCGCCGTTTAATAAAGACCGAGAGGACAGAAAGAGAGAGAGATAGAGAGAGAGAGAGAGAGAGAGAGCAAAAGTCGCATATTCAACCGTATAGGGTTTCCTTTGTTATTCATTTATAAAATATACAATGGTATTATTTTAAGACTAGTTATAAATTCACGGGAACACACAATAGTTTCATGGTACAAAAAAAAGAAAAAAATGAAATACGCCTCTGTGCTTGTTCTTTGTTAAGAGGCTTCTATAAAAAGAAATGCATAATTCACTGACACACTCACATACTGCACGCAAACACGTCCGCAGTGACAATCATGTGTATGTGTGTGCGTGTCCATTCTGCGGCAGCGCCTAAGCTAATTACCGTTGATTCAATTTACCCATTGCTTATTTTCTTGGGCAATTTCCTGTTTCTCTCTACCTTGCGGTCTTCGCGTACCTATTTTCTTTAATTTGAGCAGTTTGGTAATTTAAAAATTGGAGCTCCCCCGTGTGCCCTTGCCAACAGACCCATAATCAACTGTAATGCGGCCGACTCGGCGTTGAGCACGCAAGCAGGCAGTCAGTAAACAGCAAACAGCAACAACAACAACAGAAACGCAAACAAAACATATGCTTCAACAGCAACAACAACCACAATGGGCACGCCAAATTCACAAAGCTTTACACACAGACACATACCCAGACAGTTGAGCACTCACACATCGAAATAATATTGATACACGGACACAGACACACCTCCCCATTTCTGAATTGCACTCGGGCGCTCGTAAATTATTGCCGACTTGCTTTTGTTTGTGTGAGTATTTTACGAAACAGCTGATTTGTTATCAAAAGCGCTGAATAACCACACAGACTGTGAGAGAGTAACAGAGACGCACACAGACCGAATGAGAGAGCACAAAGCCTCAAGTGCTGAATTCTCACGCTCAGCAACAGCAGCGCACTAACAACAACAAAAAGTAGAGAAATAAAAAAAGAAACAACAACGACGCCAACTGCGGCTGCTGCTATGGCAACGACCTTCCTTATTTATTACAATGTGTGTAATCGTCTACTGTGTATGTGTGTGTGTGTGTCTGTATGCAAGTAAGTATGTATGCTTGCAGACGACGACTACGACGTCGCCGTAGCTGTTGTTATTGTTGCTATTGTCGATGATACTGATGATGACGGTGTTGCTTATGCGAAAGAGGGAGAACGGAAGGCGCTGACTTAAATTGCTTAGTTTTTAGTGCAGAAATGTCTGCAACATTTAAGTTTAATGCTGGCTCGTTACTGTTGTTGCTGTTCTGCTGCTGCTACTGACGCCGCTGCTGTTGCTGCTGCTGCTACTGCTGTTAGCTGGTGTGTGTTGTCGCTTCTTATGCTTTGTTCGTTTTTCTGTGTCTGCCAGAAGGAGAAGGGGCATAATCTCTTTTGCTGGCTGGCAGCTTTTGCACTGAAAATCTTTGTGCTCATTGCGCAGTTTCCGTGTGGCTTAGTTTGAATTTTATTTCATGTAGTTGGTTTTGTTGTAACAGGGCAGCTGTCGTTGGCGCTGCCGTCGCTGTTGCCGTTGCTTGGCTGTGTGCCTATTGTTGTTGTTTTGCTTTTGCCTTAGTTTCATTTTTTTGGATTTTATTTTAATGCCGCACCTTTGTACATAATGTAGAGTGAATGAGCGAATAGAAAGATGTAAGAGATGACAGCAAGTTGCAGTAAAATAGCAAAGCAAAAGCTTTGGAATGAATGCGGAACAGTAAGACGGGAATAGAAAATGCAAGGCGAAATGGAATATTTGTTCATATGCATGTTTGTGTATATTTGTATGTATTTGTAGACAGATATTAAAATTACATTGCATATCCATGCATACATCCATACGTGCTCAGATATTTGTGTGTGCTCAAGAGCTTGTCGCCAGGGCTATTAAATGGCAGCAAACAACAGTTTGATAGCATATAAATGATCAAAGCAGCGCATAAAATTGAAACTGCGCATAGGCTGAGGCCATAAAAAAATCATAAAAATTAAAGCAGGGCAACACTTAAAACGCACGCTCAAAAGAGCGAGAACGGCAGCAGAAATATGATTACAAAATAAAAAGGCAGCGACGTTGCTCTCTCGCACAACACGAAAGCAGTTGTAAAGATGGCCGCCATGGCTATTATATAGCTGAATTTGTAAACGACACCAACACTTAAGCCGACACACACACACACACATTCACATAGCCAGACACACAGAGCATACAAGAGAGACAGAGTGAGAGCCAACATGTGATGCGGCATGTGTTTCAGTTACAGCCACTGAATGCAATTGGCTTAAGCGTTTGCAGCAACGATAACAAAGCAGCGTGTGTATGAGTGAGTGCTGAATACGCGCCGACGTCACGGCCTAGTCGGCAATCAGCTGTGCGGCAGCTATAGCCATCAGCAGGTAAAATGCTGGCCAGCAAAAAGGGCCACACTGCGAGAGGCAGTCGCTTGAGAGAGCTTGACGCGTGCAGACAGCTGCGTGAACAGGACTCGGAAGTGTTTCTTATAACAAATATCATAAACTTATTTCAATTTAAGTAAATTGAAAATTGCATCAAGCATTGAATAATAGTAGCAAGATATTTTATGAAGTGACAACAAAAATTCATCCACATACTTATGTGTGTCTGTGCATGACTGACGAAAGAAAAAAAAATAGTCCTAATGCAAAAACAACAACAAACATCTTAACATTTACGTTTGCGTCGTGAAACAGCTGTTATTGATCTCTCTCTCTCTCAATTCAGCACGTCTCTGCCGATTCAGCATACCGCTCTCTGATTTACGCGCTGAATGCTCAAAAAGTAAAAAAAAAAGAAATAGAAATTAATAACAGTGAAGCGTTCGTTTCATTTCGCTTGCGCTGCTCAACGTGAACGGACGTGTTCGGGCAAACCTATCCGCCTGTCGTTAGCGTATGATAAATAAAACTAAACTGCACGCGTGTTTTTGCATATAAATAAAGACTGAACCAACAACAAAAAACAAACAAGCAAAACACAAACTCAATTTGCAGCTTAAATAGTTTACGAAAATAAACAAGACTGATTAAACAATACAATAAACGGAAAATAATTGAATTACGGGTGCGACACAGCAACAAAAAATTATAAAACATCAACAAAACTAAACCGAAAACAAATTCCAAATAAAAAACAATATTTATAAAACCRCAGCAGCAGCAACATATGGATTAACGTTCCTCTTATACACACAACCACACACACACTCTCGGATAAACAGCAGCTTTAATTACAGTTAAACGCTGTCTATTTCTCACTTCTTGGATTACCAGTGCCAATTCAAACAAAAAAAAAAAAAAAAAAAAAGAAAGAAAGAAAAAAAAAAAAAAAAAATTGTCAAAGTCTAAGTGCAGTGAAAAGCTCTAAAGAGAAGAAGAAAAAATGAAATGCTGAAAAATTAAGCAAAGCGTAAACAAAAACAAAAATAAAGCTTTAAATCTTGTGTGTGTTGAACAGAAAACCAACAAGTATAAAATGACGATGGCTGCGTGTTATGCTAATTACGACATGTCCTCCATGTCGTCTCTTTCGCACAGCATGTCGGCGGCGCTGCAACAGCAGCAGCAGCAACAACAACAGCTGCAGCAACAACAGCACCATCAACAGCAGCATCAGCAACAACAGCACATGTACCATGCTGCAGTTGCGGCGCATCAACAACAGTTGCTGCAACAGCAACGCCAACAACAACAGCAGCCACCCGCCAACAATAACAACAACAATGGACGCCATGCAGTTGGGACACAGGTCACTGCTGCTAGCAGCCAGCGCGGCAGCAATGTCTCAGCAACAGCTGCTGGCAACGGCGCCAGCAGCAGCAGCGCCAACAACAACAGCAGCAGCAGTGGCAGCAGCAGCTCAGTCAGCAGCAACAAGGACTACAGCATTCCGTTGCACGTCGACTGCAGCGTCGAGTACGAGCTGCCCAATCAGCCAAAGCCGCCCGCCGGGCAGCGCGTGGAGCCGCTGCTGATGATCCATCCCTGCTATTTCCGCAAAATGGAGTCGCAGCGGCGCAGCCCGTTCGTCAACAATATGCAGGCGACGGCGACGGCGAGTGCGCGCAGTGCTGCCAGCAGTGCTGTGAGCAGCGCAGCGGCTTTGGGCAGCGGTGCGGCAACAGTGGCGTCGGCGCCCAGCAGCAGCAGTGCAGCGCGACGCAAGACCCAAATGCAACAGCAGCAGCAGCAACAACAACAACAGCAGCAGCAGCAACAGCAACAACAACAGCAGCGACAGGCAGCCTACCAGCAGCAGCTACGGCAGCAACAGCAGCAGCAGCAAATGTCACAAATGTCGCAGCAGGCGCTGTATCCAGTGCAGCAGCAGCAGCAACAGCAACAACAGCTGCGACAGCAGCAACAGCAGCAACAACAACAGCAACATCGCAACCAAAGTCGTCAAAGCCAAAGCCAAARCCACGCAGCAGCCAACTCAGTCGCAGCCGCCGCAGCGGCAGCTGCAGCAGCAGTAGCGACGTCGGCATCGAGTCAATGGGAGCAATTGGCCGCTGCGCTGACGCCACACCAGCAACAGCAGCAGCAGCACTCACACTCACACCCACACGCGCACACACACTCCCACCCACACACACACTCGCACCCACACACGCATACGCATCAGCAGCTGCAGCATGCGGCGTCGCTGTATTCGGCAAAAAGCAGCAATGCGGCCGCCTCTGCCAACACCGGCGGCAAACGGGACGCTTTGCTGTCGGGCAGCAGCGGCAACAGCAACAGCTACACCAGCAGCACTGTCAAGCACCAGCAGCAGCAACAGCAGCATTGCCTGCCTCCGCCTGTGGCGCCTTGGGATGCGGCGGCAGCGGCGGCGACTGCGCTGCTCATTGACCGCTCGCCGATGGCGACTGTTCCTAGCAATTATCAGGCCGGTCCTGAGGCCACGCCCATGCACCGCCTGCCGCCCACGGCGTCGACAGACAAGCTGAGCGGCAAATACCGCCAATATCTACGCACGCAGCATCGCATGCATCCCTACGCAGCAGCAGCGGCGGCGGCCGCCTCCCTCGCAGCAGCAGCGGCCGGCGCCAACTTGGGTCCGGCTTCGTTTGTGCCCTTCGGAACGGCGGCGACGTCGGCGACGGCAGCGGCAGCGCCAACATTCCAGCAACTGCAGCAAATCTCCTGCTACAACGTGTGATCCTCCTCCAACAACAATAACAGCAACAGCAGCAGCAACAACAACAATAACTGAGACAGACGCTTACCAAGTAAACGTCAATGACGTAGAAAACAGAAAGAAAGAAAAAGAAAATTAACTGCAAAACGCTTTTTGAATATCCTGTTATACTATTCTCTTATTCTTTCACTGTATCCTGTTTTACTGTAGGGCTTGCAATGTGCCTGGTGTTAAGCATGTAAACGAAACGAACGGCATGACAATAAAAAGAAACGTGCATAGCCAAAAGAGAGAGCAAAAGCAGAAGCAAAAGAACGGTGCTCTAAGCATATGCATGTGCATATGTGTATCTATGTCTATGCATTGGTATAGGTATAACAGCACGCTTAGGGGCCCGAAAAAAGCTTCGCTGAGTGCAGTGTGCAGTGTGCGTGTACGGCGGCATTTGATTTGCTTCGCTTTCTATTTGAGAACATGAGAACATAAGAGTAAAACAGAATTGCAATTGTGATAAACTGAAAAGGAAAAGATAAGAAATTTTGTTTTAAAGTTCAAATCATGCCATTTTTTTTATTGTCATACAAAATGTTAATGTTAAATTGAAAAGTGTTTCGTATTAACGCCGAGGCAATTGGCAAGCCAATAAATATTTAATTATTGATTTATAACTAAATTAGCTGCGAACGATTGTTGCCAAAAAGCCCAAAAGAGAAAAAAAATAATTAAAGATTACTTGTTTATTTTTTTTAATGTAATTTGTAGTAATTCGATAAACAACAAACAAGTAAGAAGAGAAAAGAAAAGATATGAAAAAACAAACAAAACAAACAAAAAAATGCAAACTATTGTAGTGATATTTGTTATAAAATAATTTTAGTAACTAATTTAATTTAAATTAAACAAGGAAAAACCAACAAATCTAAACACAATGCGTGTAAACCAACAACAACAACAAGAAAACAACAATAATAACAAGTAAATGAAATGCTAAAAACTAAAACATATGCTTATTTAATTATTATTATACACAACAAATACAGCCCATGCTATTACTCAAGTCAAAGTAAAATGAAGAAAATATGCTAAATCTCTTAACTAAAGGAATGAATGAAAGAAGAAGAAGCTAGAAAACACACACACATACACATACAAAGTGCAAACATATTAAAATGAAAATAAAATTTATTCCCAAATTTTGCGACGTAACTCGTAGCGAAATATGCGAAGAAAAAAAAGAAAAACAAATTAAAACTAAAATGTAGTAAATTGTGTTTTCAATTGACAGTAGCAAAACCAGAGAGAGAAAGAGAGATGTTGAAAGCGAGAGAGTTCAGGCTGCAGTTAAGCATTCGATTTGACTGCCGCAAAAGAGCGCAGTAACGGCATTTGCCGTCGGTACTTTGTTGGATTACTTTACAGTTTGTCGCCTGTCTTCTAGTTTGTCTTCTTCTTTTTTTCTTCTACACTTTTTTTTATTTCGCCTTGCTGTTGTCACTGTGTGAGCTGCTTTAATTTGATTTCTAGCTCGCCTCGTGCTATGCCTCGGTTTTGGTGTCAACTCCCTCTTCCCTCTCCGCATCCCGCATTCCACATCCCTCGCGCCGTCTGTCGCTGTGATTGATTGTTGTCATTGATGGAAGACTTTCCAGCTCTGCCGCGCACGCACAGTGGTTGAAAGGCAGGGAGGTCGCAGTCGAAGTCGTTAATTATGAGCCCAGCCCACATAATAATAATGAGCGCTTTATGTTTACAGAGATTAGTTTGATGCGACCATGCAGAGCATTTTCAGCTGTCCGTGCGATAAACCGTGAAATCATATCATTTAATTAAATTCAAATATTTTCGTTTGCCTGATAGCTTGACAAATTTCCTAACGTATTTCGCAACATATTCAATTTCTAATTTCCTGCTTACAAAATCGAATTTTATAGGAGATCCGGCTAAAAGAAAACAGGGCTAGCCATCTCTGTTTTTTTATTTTCTTATTATTTCTATTTATTTATGTATAAAACAGCTGTCGATTCAATTAAACAAAATGCTTCACTCAAGTAAGAAATATATAAAGAAAGATAAACAGAGAGAGCGAGAGGCGTAAAGCAGAAAACGACATCCGTTTCCCATTGACCAAAAGTGGACTCGTTTAACCATTTGATTTGTGACTCCGTTAAAGCGAATCCATTCACATGATTCACTTTAGTCTGCCCTAAATTCAAACGAGTCCGCACTCATGTCAAGACAAGGCAAGAAAACAACAAAAACAGACAGGAACTGGCCGCGACTGCTTATGTGGACCACAGTTCCAATTATAGTAGTATTTATATATGTATATGTATGTATACATAGGTGTATGTATGTGTACTATATAGAAAGCAGCGTCATCAAATCTTGTTTAGTTTAAAAAGAGAAAAAATTAGACAGACAAGAAGAAAAATGTTCACTTTGTATGTTGTTATTAGTCTGACAAATGATTGCAATCTATTAGTTTCTAATTCGAATATAGATTAGAATGCAGTAGATATGTATATGCCAATTGACAGTCATTAAAAAAATCACAACAAAACAGTGAAAACCATTGAAATTGCGCAAAATATCAGCTGTTGCCCACTGTTGTGTGTGTCTTTCCCATCTATTGCCTCTCCTGTCCCTCGCTTTCAGTCTCTTTCATTCAGTGCGAGGTCGTTGTCGTCATATTCTATGGGTGCATGCATGTTTTTTAGTGCATGTGTGTGTGAAGGTGCTTGAGCCTTAGCTAAATTGGAATGAAACAAAAGCTGCACTTTACAGTGGACTGTTGATTGTATTTTTCAGGCAAATCTTCAAAGATAATGGGCATGTTTCTCAAGTGTAGCACTCGAAGATTCAAGTGTTCACTTTTATTATTTTTATTTTCAGTTATTGTATTTTTATTTATATAGAAATGAGCTCAGCACCGGTGTGTGTCTACTTAGCCCAAGAGGCTTTTTCTTTTTTTGGTAATTAATCAGTGAATGAATAGTTCGTATAGGCAGAAATTTTTTTCTTTCAGCTTTCTTCTGTATTTACATGATAATTAATATGTGGGTTTATTTGGTTTTGTGTTTGGCATTTATTACGGTATCTCCCACCAGCCCCAGCCCATAGTCAAGGCAAGGCAGGTGCCATTTAAAAGTCATCAACAGAGATAAATAAACTCAATAATGGTCCAGCCAAAAACACATAAAAGGCGAAAAAATTAAAWAMAAAAAAAAAAAAAAAAAAAAAAAGCAAGCAAACTCAAACAAAACCACGCAAATAAAACGGCACCCAAAGCGCGCATACACAATCAAATTAAGCACACACACACAGTCACACATGCACAGAGATGATTAGTTATTTTTAAATATAAGCTGAAAAATGCAAACAGTAAAAACGCACGAAAATTGTTCAAAATGAAATGACGCAAAGCGCATTAAACAAAGTCCAGCAAATAAAAAAACAAATATAAAGTCACACACATTTGTATACATATATACACAGAGGCACGCAGAGCAAGCGCCGCCAACAACAACAAAAATGCGATAAAAACTGAAGTAGAGCGCAAAATGAAAAGCAAAGACAGACAACGACGTCGACAGAGGAAGCTGTCTAACAAACGGTGTCTGTGAATGTGTGCGGGAGTACGTTTGCTCATGTGTGTGTATGTGTGTGTGGGTGCAGCAGGTGACGAAGGCGGGTCGGGTTAGCATGAGCATTACAGGGATGCCGCGTCGCATTGAGGCTGGTCATAAAGCCCAAGTTTATGAGCAGAGCAACAGAGACAGACATAGATGTAGCGAGCGTGTGAGTGAGCGTGTAAGCGCAACGAGACGCCGACGCATGGGCAACCAGTTTGTGTGTTGTTTTTGTTTGTTTTTTTTTTCCATTCATTCATTCATTTTTCGCCTTTTTTCGCACTCTTGCAAGTAGATGAATTTGGGGTCAGACTAAGATCCGATTTGTGAGTTAATTAAAGCATTTGCCCACTTTTTAAATATGCATATTTAAATTTCAGTTTTAAATACATTAATTTTCTATGCGTGTTTTGCTGAAATTTATAATCGTTTTTTATATACACAAATACATAAATAATTTATCTTTATTTATGTTTTTTTGTCGCCCTTTCGGGCTTTTCGTTAATGACAGCAAACTTTTTTGAAAAGCCTTTTAGTATTAATTAAAGTCGTAAATTAAGTACCGCATTTACAATTAAATATGTATTTATGCCAAACGAATTTGTTGTCTTTTTTTTTTTTTTTTTTGTATTTTAGCTAGTGACAGTTTTAATAAGCTTAATTAAATTGTATAAAAAGCGAGAGAAAAAATGAGAAGAGAGAAAAAAGCGAATCGTTAGTTGCTGTAACTAATTAGCATAATTTGTATGCGTGACTATACAGGTAGAAATGCGGCAGAGCAATTTAAGCGGCTTTAAATAAATTAACAAAAAATAAAATGCATTAATAATTAAAAATAAAGTCTAAATTAAGGCATTAGGATGAGCCAAGCACAGCTCGGCCATAAATTTGCGGTCAAGCCCAAAAATGCTATACAAAGAAAGACAAAAAAAATAGAAATTTGACTTTGATTTGGTGTTTTATAATCGGGTTTTCACATATGCATGAGTCAGAGCTGAGATCAAATATGATTTCGTATTAATTTACGTATTTTTTTTTATTTCTTTAGAAATTGAGCCACCCAATGCAGAATTTAATTGAATCTCGAAATACCCTATTAACCTCAAATTGCGACATTTAGCTTGAACTGAGAGACCCTGAAAATATTTAATAAAAAACAAACACACACAAAGCAAAATTAATTATATAGAGCTGCACTTTTGGCTGGCCCAAAAGTCGTGAAAACAAAAAACCGAAAAAAAAAAAAAAATAATATTATTCATACTTAGCGAGCAGCTCAGCCAAAGTCAAAACACTTAAACTGCCCAAGCTAAGGAGAGTGTGTGTGAGAGGGAGGGAAGGTTGCAAAGGCCTACGATTAAAAGTTGAACTAATAACTTTACACTGGGCAACAAGCGAATAGTTACAAATAAATATAAAAAGTGTAAAACTAGCTAGAGAAAAACTCAAAAACTAACAAAAAAAAAAAAAAAAAATTTAAAAGCATTAACGCTTAGTGCTGCCTAAGTGCAGTTGGGGTATACTACAAATACAGTTACAGATAAGGATATATATATGTATATATACATATTCTCTACGTATATGTATGTATGTAGCATATGAGCACATCATATTTGAAAAGCAGCAATTAACAAAACAAACTAAAGTATAATGTGGATGTTGCAAACACAGATAGTATATACACATATACATACATACATATATACATTTATGTATATCTATATTACATGATCTATACTTAACGAAAGCCGCGCACGCAAATTAAATAAATTATATGTTATGATATTTGTTTTTATTTTTGTTTTTGGGTTTTTCATTTACGTATCAACATTTAAAAGCAGTTATGGAACTAACATTAAACACTARCGTAACATACATACATATATGATAATCTACATATAAATTAGCCAACCATATTGTGACTTACAACAACAACAACACCAGCAACAACACAACAACAAGAGTAAATACCATATTATATATACATATATATATATATACATCTATAGAGAGGACGATATAATGCAACTAACTATATAGTAATTAGACAAGAAACCAACTACGCCTATGCAGACAGTCATAAGAAAAATACCCTAAAAACACTCCATAGAGAGAGCATGAAGCAAAGCATATACCTAAACTAACTAGGCCATCAACAAATTATAGTACATGAATATGAATATATACATATATAAATATATGTGTATGTATGGCCAGCGGTCAGAGGTGAGGTGAGAGCCCCGATAACTTATGAAGCAAACAGAAAACAAAAATTTAAGCGCTGAATTAACGAAAACCTATTGAGCGTAAAAATGCAAAATATGTTAAAAAAAAAAAAAAACAAACAATATATATGAAAAAATAAATTTATATACATATGCATATGAAAAAAATATTAACATAAATTTCTGCTGTGAACAAAAATTAATGTTTAAATATGCATTAATTTTCAATTTTTTTTTTATTGTCGTTTATATATGTATGTATATGAAAATAAAAATAGTAATAAGATGCTAAATTTTAAATGGAATTTAATATAAAGGGGGCGCAGAGCTAATTGAGTGGGAGAGCAAGAGGAAGAGATGAAAAATTGCCAAAGCTGAATGAAAAAAAAAAAAATAAAATAAAAAAATAAAAAAAAAACGAACAAAAAATATTGAATTAAATAACAATTTGCGACAAGTTTTCATATCTGCTTTGCGTGTATTCATCAATAATAATATACATATTTAGTTTTTATAGTTTTCAAATATCATATATAAAAATATATGCATATAAAGATATACATAGATAACTCTATTTAAATGTGATAGTAGTTTTATTCAATGATTGATTATGCACTCCAAGTTTCCAAACAAGCATTTGGTTTTTCCTTTCAGATCTTAGCTGCTTAACTATTGTACATGAATTTATATACATAACAGATATATATATAGCATTTAATTAATTATATGTATACCTATAAATATATATGGATTAGCTGTCAGGTCAATCGATTTATGTAAATTATCCAATTGAAAAACCTAACTAATGCAAGGACATATATATATTATAAAATACATATAAATATATATATATGCGGATATGATTATTGTATAAACCATCTGATTTGTAGCATATTATCAACTGAATTCAATATAGTATATTATTCGATATGATTAACAAATATATTGGGCTGCATGCAAAAGAAAACCTTGAAGAAAACAATAACATAAAAGGAAAACACGATACGATAAGCAAATTAATAAATAATTAATTTGAGCAAACAAAAATGAAATGCAAACTTTTCTTTTTCTTGAAATGGAGGGGGAATAGCAGAAGG